GCAAACAACAACAACAGCAGCAGCAGCAGCAGAAGCAACAGGGGGCCGCACAAGTGAGGGGTGGGGCGCCCATGCACACACAAAAACTGCAGCTGGGCACACTAAACGTGGCGCAAAACAATAACAGCAACAACAGCAACAGCAACAACAACTAAAGCATAAACAAAGGCGCAGCTGCGTCTGGGCATAAAACTCGCTCGTAAAGCTTTCAATTAAAATTAATAAAAATTTACGCGAATTAAATAAACACAGCAAAGCGACAACAACAACTACAGCAACGGGAACAGGAACAACAAACACGCAGGTGAGCCCGTTGAGCCAGGTGAGGCCAGTTGCCCAGCGGTGGGCGTGGCTGCTTAGTTGGACGCAAATGGAAATGTTTTCCATGCAAAACGCGTTGCGGGCGTCGGAAATGGACTGAAAGCGGCGCGACAAACGCGCCTAGCTTAACCCAATGTCAGCTCCGCATATAGCGAAGCCCATGCGTAAACCGTCTATAATATACGATCTATACATATATATACATAGATATATATATATATATATATCAGCATATAGCTGCATATTTACATAGATGTGCAGGGTATATTAACATGCCCGGCGACTGGATTAAATAAATTGAATTGTTTGACACAATATGGCCCCGACCATTAAACAGCTACCCAAGGCACACACATACACCAACACACATACATACACACACACACACATCTAGATAGAACAGAGTTGTGACTGGGCTGGTGGCAGGCAGCAAAAACAAAGCCAAGTTAAGCCAGGGCAATCGACGATGCACACAGCGAGAAATCGCTGAGAACAAGAAGCAGCGCTGGCAAACAAGTCAATAAATCAAAAAAAAAAAAAAAAAAAAACACCAGTCGGGTATGCACGACTAGTAGATACCCTGAACACAGCGCTGAGTAATCTCGACTAACATTTAGGCTACCTACGAAAAACAGGTATATATATGTACATATAGAACACACACACACTTCGCTTGGGCTGGAAATGTATTCTTGAATAGCATCGGAGCTTAGAGTCCGATCTTTACGAAATTTTCAGTGCATTAATGTAGTACTCAAGCTTGTGTGCATAGCAAATAAAAAGGATCTTTAAAAACTGAGTTCTTGTCAATTTTTTGACGGAATTATGAAGGCATTCAAAAAGTGGAGTACTTAAAATCTGCCTATACTATACGAGAATCTACATGCCATGCTTAAGGTATCTAGCTTTTATAATATTGGATTTATGCATAGTAAAACAAAAGTCTCTCAAGCGATATTTATCGATATTGAATATATATTTCTCCCTTACAGTCTCTAGCTCTTATATTTGCCAAAATCGATATGAAATAGTTGCCTGTGGTATATAAGATTTTACTCATATATCAGAAGTGGGATGAAATTCGTAACTGCCAAGTTTGTGACATAATTATAATACCCTCTACAAGGGTATCAAAAATAGCTAAGAGTGCTTGATAGTGATTGATATAGATACACGACTAGAGCATACCCTATAACCAAAGCCACAGGCAAATGGGTTTTACCAAATTCGCTAGCACATCTCTTATAAGGATTGAAAAGTATTTCAAGTGCTACAAAATTTTGGAAGGACTTATCAATAATATCAACGATTTTGTCTCCGCCTTCCCAAGACTTACTAAGAATAATTTTTGTTTACACTAACGATAGTTTCTAATCGGAATATTATATTCGAAATCATAAGGTCCAAAAGATAAAAAAGGCTTCTTAGTGTTGCGAAACTACCGATAGACAGTATCAATGCTGCAGTCTTTAACAACACTATGTTAATCGAAATCTATTTATGTATTATCATAAATCTGTAGGTTCGTGATCATGGATTGTTTTTGCCAACTTCAAGAGTTTCTAATGGAAATGCTTTTATGTTAAATCACAAATTCGAAGGTTTTTCAAGATTAAGTTAACCTTCAGTGTTGCAAAACGATCGACTGTGTCGATATTGTTTTTCTTGATTGTTTTCTAAACCCTCGATATTTTTCAATCGGTACGAATAAACATGTTTCAATAAGTCTTGCGAAACTTAGTAGAGATCAATAACTTAAAATCTATATTAATTTCAATACCAAAAATGTTATATCCTTTACTTGTTTTTATATTCATGCATTATCGAATAATGCTGGAAAAGTCGATGCTAGTTTTGCTGTTTTTATATCTCGAGCTTCAAATTATGCGAAAATTGTATAAAATATCGGTAGCTGGCGCTTTAAACTAGAAATAAGGCGAATAACTTTAATATTTCAGCTCGATAGATGGCCACGAATATAAGTTATGCACTTTATCGAGTGGAATCCACGCACATTAGCAAAAACTTTATTGTACCCTTACCGCCCATTCGATGTAAGCGTACATATAGGGTATAAAAAAAATATATAAAAAAAAAAAGGAAAACGAAAACAAGCGAATAAAATAGAAAGTAAAACAGGGGACGAGAAGGACAACTAGCACAGGACATAGGGAGTCGAGCCAAGGCAATGGCAAACCGAAAGCCACATGACGAAGAGTCTGTGATTTTATTTCAGCTGAAGGACCATGTTATTGTGTTTATGGAGCACTTTGCCAGCATGACAAACACTGGCGTGCGGCTTTAGCCAACACTAATCAGACGCTCTCAACTAGTGGCATTAACGATGGCAAAGTAAGGCCATCAAACCTATAACAATTTTATTATGAGGCCCAACGCATATAACAACATATATATACATTGCATTGAGACATTGCGCAGTTCGATTGGGCATAAATATATGCATAGAGCAACATATGCCTATGCGAGAAATGGAATGAAATGAATGGTGGGGGTCGCCCATCAATCAAGTCAATCACGAATATGTTTTACATTCGATTTTGATGGCTTATCAAAAGGGCATGTCTAAACACTTGTTGCACGCACTTATGAGTTTTTTTTAAATTAAGCGAAACATTGAAAGGTTGTTTATCGATAACATATCAAATAATTAACTATTGCTACTATACAGCTTGAGATATGCACTGTTATCGATTAACTACATGCACATCACTTAATGCGCGTTGCACAACACTTGAAGCTACTTTGTAGCATACTTTTGTGAGTTTATAGAAGTTGTACGGTTGTGAATAATATATATTATATAAGTTTCGGCATTATTAATCACAATGGTATCAATTTCAACTATTAACTATTACAACTATTTTTGCTGCACTCACATCAATAAATGTTTATTGCGCAACACTTGAAAGTTACTTTGTTCGCAGCAATTCAAATGTATCGCCATATAATCGTTATCGATCAATGTCAGAGAGCACACACAGACACGCACACACACACACACACATACAGACAGACACACCTGCACAGCTTCATTACATTTGTGCTGTGCAGCGAGCCAAAGACGGCGCCACGGAAGTGTGTGTGTGGGTGTTTTTTTTTTTTAGTCTTGTTGTCCTTTTCAGCCAATGGAAGGATACATTTGTTGGTTCTATTGATTTTTAATACGCGTCTTGTTGGCAACCAACGCGTCGTCATTGGGCCATTGGGCAACCCGGAGCCAACTACTTTGAACTCGCTGTTGAAGCTGTCGTGCAGCTCCTTCAGTGGCTCTGCTTGTCTGACTGTGTGTGTGTGTGTGCGTGTGTATATTTTAATGCTTGTTAGGAAGAAATATACAAACAAACAAACGTGTCACAAGTCGTGCTCACCCTCTCAACATTTCTATTGCCTTGTGATAACTTAATGCCAAACGCATGCTTTTGCATATGATATCATACAATGCGGCGTATGAGTTACTTTTTTGCAGCCATCGTTAAGTGGCAGCGGCCATTAACACCGACCGACAGTATAACGGTTTATAAAAAAACGTAATGGAGGAGTTGCAGGCAATGCCAAGCAGCAGTTAATGGATTGCACTCCAAGCTGAGCTGTGCTCGCGACTAAGCTACGCATTCACATGGGCTGCGCCTATATGTTGATCAAGCACTCAGGCGATCACTCAAAGCTCAACATGCTCTCACGCTCTAACTCCCTCTCTCTCTCTTTCCTTCCTACTCTTGTTCTAGCTGCACTCTACGCTGAACTATGCTCGCGACTAAGCTGTACATCCGCATAAGCTGCACTTATGTGTTGGTCACACACTCAGAGAATCACTCAAAGCTAAGCTTGCTCTCACCCTCACTCACTCAGTCACTCTCACTCCCTCTCTCTCTCTCTTCTTATAGCTACACTCTGCACTGAGCTGTTCTCGCGACCATGCTAAAATCGTACGGAGTTGGTGAAATGGCAGAGTTACTAATTGTCTATGTTAAAATGAGACGCGCACAAAAAACTTTTTCAATAAAATTAATTTTGTGTAAAAAAAGTCAAATTAGTGCTGGATTAATAAGCTCCCTTACAAATTTAATAAAAACTGCAATAAAGCAGAACACAAAATGCTTTAAATATTTCCGAAAATGTTAAAAATGCAATAAACAGAATTAGTTTTTGTTTATACTTTGCAAATAAGCACATTTCAAGTGGCTGTCACATGTGGCACATAAATTTGTCCATAGACCGGTATACACATTTTTCCTTATGTTCTAAAGCATAAAAGTTCCCTGTAAATGTTTCAACTATGCTTTTGAAATAAATGTAATATGTATAAGAAAAAGACAAACATCGTAACCAAATTAATATGCAAATGTTCAGAAACCTAACTATTTATATGGAGCAGGAAATGAAAACATATTTTCATTAAAAATTCATTTGAAAGAAGTTCATAATAAATTCTTGTGCAAAAAATGTTCTCTTTCGTGGAACAGAGTACGTGTGTAACACATGTGCTCTTAATATATGTTTGAAATAAAGATAATAGAATGAAATAGATTAAGAGAAAGCAAAGCAAGCACAGAGAGATATATATTGTCGCCTTTTAAATTTCAGGCGATCACTCAAAGTTGAATCTGCTCTCTTTTACGCTCTTCAGCTTTTACTCTTTCGTTTTTCGTTATACTTACGATTTCCGTCGACGCTCAGCGGTTGTGTGAGCAGCGTCAGCATCAGCAGCATTGCAATAACGGACAGCAGCTGCATTGACTGCCTTTGTTGTTTTAGCTGCTGCTGTGGCTGCTGCTTCCCTTTTTGCTGCTCCCTCTTGCCGACATCCGTTTGGCCTTTGCTTGGCTGCAGCGACATTTTTGACAGTTACGATAATCGCCCGCTGTTTATCGTTTATCGTTTATAAGTCGCGTTGCTGTCGTTGACTGCCTGTTCGAGTTGTTCTTGTTGTTGTTGTTCGATTGTAAGCACACAAATGCTTAAAATAAAATAATATATAAATTTAAATTAGTCACTTTTGTGTTTTTTGCCTTAATTTATACGGCGCACAATTTGCACAATTTGTGCAGCATACTTTGCTGCGCCGCAAGTCACACAGACTCGCGCCTTGTGCCATGGTTTTTAACTCTCATTGCTCCGCAGTGGCTTTAACTTATTTAAAAAGTTCTCAACGTGCCACAGCTACGTGTACGACGCAATCCAAACTGACATTGCGACCAAACACTGGCTGACTATCTCTCTCTCTCTCTCTCTCTCTCTCTCCATCTCTCTCTCTCGCTATCTCTATCTCCCTCTGTATTAATTGGCATGCCAAGTCAGTCGGAGTGCGGTGCATTTGGGCGTGTGATGTAGCCAAAAGTTTGACAGGGTGGCAACGGTTAATGTAACGATACATTTATCATGCCTAAAATGCGCCAATCAAGTGCAGCTTAATATCTAGCTATATCTCTCTCTCTCTGCTAGGATAGAACATATCCATAGCAACGCAACATGAAGTTGATTAAAATGGCTTTCAATTTGTGGCATCGCATTAAGCTGCACATTTACCATGTCAAACTAAAGTATAATCAATCAACCGCATCAAGTGCACACAACACTGGCTTTTAATACACATATCAATTTGTCTGTCCTGAATGACTGACTTACTGACTGACTGTCTGACTGGCTGACAGAAGTACTGACTGACTGAGTGACTGACTGACTGATTGACTGACGAACTGACTGACTGACTGACTGTCTGACTGTCTGACTGACTGACAGACGTACTGACTGACTGACTGACTAACAGACGTACTGACTGACTGACTGACTGACTGACTGACTGACGAACTGACTGACTGACTGACGGACTGACTTACAGACGAACTGACTGACTGACTGACTGACTAACTGACTGACTGACTGACAGGCGGACTGACTGACTAACTGACTGACTGACTGACTAACTGACTGACGGACTGACTGACTAACTGATTGACTGACTGACGGACTGACTGACGGACAGACTAACAGACGTACTGACTGACTGACTGACTGACTGACTGACGAACTGACTGACTGACAGGGGGACTGACTGACGGACTGACTAACAGACGTCCTGACTGACTGACTGACAAACTGACTGACTGACTGTCTGACTGACTGACAGACGTACTGACTGACTGACTGACTGACTGACTGACTAACAGACGTACTGACTGACTGACGAACTGACTGACAGACGTACTGACTGACTGACGAACTGACTGACGGACAGACTGACTGCATTTTCTTAAAGAAGTAGTTGCATTTTCTAATGCGCACACTTAGGAAAGGTTTTGGATGAATTCTATACGCTGATCTGTTTTAACATAATTTCCTTTCGTGGCAAACAAACAAATTATATAATTTCAGCTGCACAATTAGCTAATACCTATATATATTTAGACCACCTTTCCAATTAGGTTCAGGCCATCTGGCATAATGTTATAAGCTTCTTTTTCTTCTGGTTTACAGTGAACGAAATTGAAAGCAAATTAAAATGCAATTTCTAACGTGTCTTTTGTTGTTATTCTTCTTCTTCTTCTTCTTGTTTTTTTGGGGTCCAACTTTTATGTCGGAGAGCCGCCCGCTAAACGAAATACTTTGGAAAGTACTTAAATTTGAAGCAAAACTTGGCAACTTTCTGTACGTGTTGCTGGGAATGCAATTTCCATTTTGATATCCCACGTACCGCCGTTGCTGAAATAGGAAGATTTTCTTGCGAAAATGACAGATTCAGACATTTGTGCAGTAATGCGGCTCAACGTTGCCTGGCTTGGCTTAAAAAGGACTTCATTTCAATTGGTTTTCTCTGTGGCCTTTCCACCCCTCCTCCCCTGCCCGCCAGTGAAAAAGTAAATTGTTTTGTTAAAAATATAATAAATATTCTATTAAGCTGACAAAAAAAGCAAATAGCACGAAAAACTGCTTTAATTAAAGAAGAACACAAAAAATCCTTTTAGTACGGAAAAGTCTTCACACATTTTACGAAATAAAGGACAAAATAAACTTTGCTAATATTTGAGACATTTAAGATTTTTAATTTAAATAAAAATATGGTTTCTAGTTTTTTTTTTTTTGAGTTGTTTTTATGTGTTTTTCGGCATACAAATTTTAATTGGGCTGAAAAAAAGGGAGGCTGGATATAAAATCTGATTTATATTTTAAATTTAAAATTATATATTTTCTAATTGTTTGCCAGATTACAAGTTTCGAATATTCGAATATACATAAAAAAAAACTTTTTAATTTCATGTTTGGAATATTTGAATAAACACAAACATAATTTTTTTCTTTTGATGGTTAGAATATTTAACTAAACAAAATATACAATTTTTTTCATTCATATTTCAAATATTTAAATAAATACAAACATCATTTTGTAAACATATTTCGTTTGAATATACTTATAAAGGTAAAGAATAATAACAAAATGAAAAAATAAGAAAAATATGAATTCTCTAAATATCCAATAAGAAACCTTTTTAGTTTCTAATATAAACAATATATAGTCAAGTTTTTATGCTGCTTATCTGTTATATTTCAAAAATATTCTTTGGAAAAGCAAAAACTAGTTTCTCAGAAAACATATATAATATATTGAAATATTCTTTTCTAGTTATTTTTTTAGATCTGTGCCCTATTGAGATAAAACTGAACGTATTCACAAGAGAATACATGAAATTGAATAAAAAATGTCTTATAAATTTAGTTTATATTATTTAGTAATTTCATTCAATTTATATGAAAATTTACACTTTAAAGAAAAGATATACAAATTGTTCAAGCAAAAATATTTCAAAATATTTGCCAACATATGAAAGATATTAATAAATACACTTTAATAAAGTTCTCACAGCTGAATATTAAAAAAATTTGGGCAAAGAAACTTGCGTAATTTTTTGCACAGTGTATAAAACGCAATTTCCTTTTGTATATTGATAACACGAAAAGGCCGTAAATCATGAATTAAATGATTTTACGATGCAATTTGCAATTTGTTTTGGCCCATTTTGAAAAGGTCAACGGATATTGGCGAGAATTTGTTTATGGCCAAATTGCGAAATATTGATGCGACTTGTCGGCAGCACCTGCGGCCATTTTATGCGGCGCCAAAAGGTGCCAAATGTGGCCAAAATCGTTGAAGGTAACAGCGACAGCAGCAACAACAACAACAGCAACAACAACAACAACAACTGTGAACTGCAGACGACACGGAAATGCAACACTTTCCGTTTTCCTTTTCCGTTTGCAATTTTTGGCCGGTTATTTTCTTGGTTATGCACTTTGCACACTAACAACAACAAAATGTACAAAAAAAAAAGAAGAAAAGAAAACAGCAGACGACACACAGACGGGGCGGGGGTGGGGGGCACAGCAGAAAATAATGTTCTTTTTTTCGGTTTTTTTTTTCTTCCTGTTTTTTTTTTTTTTTTTTTTTTGCCAACATCAACACAAACACAAACAAAGCGCTCGCCGGATTTATAATGGCAATGTAAACAGCGCTCAATTCGCGCGCGACTCTTGTGCCGTTTTAACCGTTTTACATTTACCGTTCAAGCAATGCTTTTGCGCGCGCTTTTTAAGAACGCGTCTCTGCCAGTGCTGCTGTCTGGGCTCTGCCAACTCGCTGTGTAGTATGTTATGCGCCCTACGCCTGCCGCACGTAGAATGCTGGACGGCATTGTTGCTGCCAGCGGCTTTTATACCAAGACGCCAACGGCTGGCGTTCGGCTTAAGTTCGGTTCGCTGCGATTCGGTTCGACTCGGCTCGCTTTGGCTGGGCCTTGCTTGTGTTATTCGCTGGCGTTTAGCATATGTCCGTGTTGGCAGCGACAACGACAACGACAACGTCAGCGGCAGCGGCAGCGACAAAGGGCAGCGACGCTGGCAGCGATGCTGGCAGCGATGATGGCATTGTTGTTGGTGTTGGGCATCGCTGCCTGGTTGGTTGGTTGCCTGCATATTTGCTTTATGAATGTGTTTACCAGCAAACTTTTTCACAATGTTGGCGCGGTGGGGTAGGCAGCAGCAAAAAGCTGCTTGCTGCGTGCGAAAGTGCCAACACTCGCATTAATGACAACAAGAACAACAACAGCAAGAAGAAGAAAAAGAAAAAGAAGAACAACAAGAGCAAAGGACAACAGCAATTACAAATAACAGTAACAAGAACAATTGTAAAGCCTGCTACTGCTCAATTAACTATGTATCTCTCCTGTCGGACTCTGTGCGTGTGCCTGTGTGTGTGTGTGTGTGTGCACGTCTGCCTTTTATTCGCGTAATTACGATTATTCTGGCAATTACGGAAAATGCAATTGCAATGCTTATGCTGAATATTATTTAACCTGCAAATTTACCGTGTCAATTGTGCGTAACACCTATACACATGTGTGCATTTGCATGTTTCTGCATGTCAAGTAAATGCAATCATTTATTTAAAATAAAAAAAAAAAATTACAATTACACCAATTAATTATGTAAAGTCAACCGCATGATATCCGGCATTTTAAATACCCTAGCATTTGCCAAAATATGATTAAGGCTAATTGCATTTTTAAGCATAATTTCAACCAATTTTGTTTGCAACTCTTTTAAAATAGCTAAAACTAAATTAATATATAAATTGAAAGCTCCGAAAAGTATGCTATATAAAACTGCTTGATTTCGAAATGCAGCTATTTTTCTGTTTATTCATTTTGAAGTGCCTTGCGCTCTTACTCTGAAAGTAATTAATGTTAATTTGTTTTGCAAAAAGACTCTGCATTAGCATAATATTTACGAAAAGAATCAATTTAATAGCATAGCAATTTCAGGCACTTCATAAATTATAATCAAATATATCCATATTTTATTTTGCCAGACATTTTTGCTTAATTCTTTAGTTCATGTCGGCACATTGAGCGCGAAGTTTGGGGCTCAAAAAGAGATAATAATAAAATTAAAAAAGAGACCATGTGCTTAGGTATCAAAACTGGAAGCTGTCGAAAATATGGCTTTGGCCACCAAAAATTGACAATTGAAACGTGACGGAAAATTGTTGGGGAAAATTTGCCAATAAAAAGCGAAGCGTTTGGGTTGCTCAATGCAATTATATTAAATATAATCTCAAAAAATAAAAATGCCAATTTAAATAAGTAATTAAGTTGTAATGTTTTATGCTAGCTTTAAATTTATGCGTTACGTGGCACGCGTACTTAATTATTTACTTGCGATTTTATTTATAATAAGTATTAAACAACAATTTGACCGATGTTCGAATTTAATTGTTATTTAACTAGATATTTTGCGACAATTTTAACAAACAAAAAGTAGTAAAAACATAAAGTGAACAATTCAAACAAAGGAATTTGTTCATTTCAATAAACTTTACGAAATTATATTCATTTGTCTACATGCTCTTTATTTAATTAATTTCTTTTTTATGGTGAAAAAGTTGTTATAGAAACGTGCTAAAAGCACATCCAACTAATATTTCGCTAATGCAAATACAAATACATTTTCAATTGAAAAATGCTAGCTATATGTATATATTTTCATAAATAATTTGCCAAGAAGCTGACCTTTAACAGTGAAAAGTGAAAGTGACACTGGCTTATTTAAAATTAGAATTGAAAATAAGTAACAAAATTGCCTTTCTCGACAGGTGAAATGTCCAAGTGACAGCGTCATTAAGGCGACTAAATAACGAGGATACTTATTTAAATGCCAAGCTAGACCGTGACATTTAAAGGCGGGCGGATGGCCTACAACTGTAACTGTAAAATACTAACAAGTAGCCAAATCGCCGGAGTTCCTCTCTACAGTGGACGCGTGCAAAAGATCGCCATTTAGTGAGTAGCGTAATTATTAATGAATTACAAAACTTGAAGTGGATCTTCCTCACACCCGAAACCCCTTGAAAATGTCTAAAATTGGGTATAATCTTTTTGTGCACACATATGGTAACAGGCAGCAGGAGATATATCCCAGCTGCCTGTCCTATAAGTGCTAGAGTCTTAGGATTTGGAATGTGGCTCTGTCTATGGCACACGCAAATCAATCGATAACTGCGAAATCGATCAAAGTAATAGACACAACATTTAGTACACAAAGTATTTATCCGAGGCTTAACCGATCCCTCTACTAGATACTTAAGTTGGGGAACGTATGTCTTTCTACCTCAAGCGCAAATCAAGTGTCTTTTTTTTTTAAATCTCCGATAACTTTCTCTAACTCCGCGAAATCGATAACAAATCGTTAGCGTAATTCTGTTTTTTGAGCTTATAAGAGCTAGAGACACAAAATTTAACTTGAGCAAAGATAAAGCTTTAGATTTTATTTCCTTTTTTTGTTAATATATTAAATATTTTTTTTTAGATTTTATTTCTATTATACTTTATATATTTTATGTATTTTATATATTTTAACTATTTTAAATATTTTATATATTTTATGTATCTTATGTATTTTACGTATTTGATATATATTTGGTATATTAATATATTTTACAATTAAGAAACCGAGTCGTTCGACCTCGCTATGTTATCACTGTACTACGAAAAGCCAAGCTGAAAGCTTTTGTTTTTTAAAAAGAAAAGTCAAAATTGTAACAAGCTAAAAAGTTCAAGTTACTAAAATGGCCTTAGCTGACAGTTTTTGGGCCAAAAGCAAAGTTGATGTTTAATCGATAACGATAACCGATAAGCCCAATGTACAATTGTGCTAGACAAGTCTAAATAATGCAAAAAGTGCGATGGCAAGTGCAACTGTATCTGTATTTGTCAGCTGCTCAATCATCATTGCAACCAATTTGTGCAAACACCTAAACACACACACACACACACACACACACACACACAGAGACAGACAGACAGAGACAGACAGAGACAGACAGCAACACGAGTGTGATTGAGATTGATCTGTGTTTATGTTAACCCGCATCGCGGCGGCTGCCACATTTGGCGCCACATTAGCATCAGCAGCGGCAACTGCAACAGCAGACGACATGCTGCCACATGCTGCCGCACAGTCGCACAGCCGCATGCAACAGCAGCTGCGAAAAGTATTTGCGCAATGTTTGCGCTGTTGCCACTCGCATATTTTTGCATGGCAGACAAAGTTTGCCGCACACGTTTCGGTTGCTGCCACAAATAGCGTTGACTACATTTGCTGCCTGCCGCTGTTGCATTTGCTGCCATTTGACAATTGTTTTGACCGCCCCCCAACCAGCCCACAGCTGCTGATGCTGCTCATTTTACTCACGCCATAAAATAAGTTTGAGCTGTCATAATGTTACACAGTTGCAGCTGGCAGCAGGCGGCAGGCAGCAGGCGGCAGGCAGCAGGCGGCAGGCAACTCGCAACGAGCAGGGGCGACTCGCATTTCACTTTCACAACTTGAACCAAATGGCAACTGGCAACCGACTAGATAAAGAATTCATGAAATACATCAAGCAGCAGCAACAGCAGCAGGTTCCATGGCAAAGCCCGTCCAGATGTTACCCTAGACGCAGCTCCAAATTCCATCCTCAGTTCAACAACAAGCAAAATTCATTTCTCAATAACTGAGACATTAAATGACCGATTGTTGTGCCATTTTAAACATCTCAAGATGACATTCATGGGCGCCTATGTACCAGAAATCAGATCTATATATGAGAGAGTGCGCCTATAATTGTTCAATTTTGGCCTTGTGGCCTTGGAAGGAGGCGAAAAAAGTGAAATATTCTTTGGTTTTTCCTTTTAGATTTCCTTTGCCAACAATTTTGTCGAAATGGATATCTTTTAGACCTTAAGTAAATCCTAAGCAGGCATTATTACAATCTTCGAACTCTGAGATCGAAGGAAATGTTAATGCCCATCAAAAGTATATACAGTTTATGGACTCTCAGCAACCGCCTTCCGCAATTTACACCATCTTCAAAGATGTTCTCAATGGGTAAAGGGTATCGGGGTACAGGGTATACGAACAACCCACAACCGCAAAGAGTACGACTCCTGACGCTGACACAGATAAGGATGACGCCACTTGCCAAGCAGTCAGTGGTTCGCTGCGCCCCGAAAAGTATGCGATGGCTATAAAATAAATATGCAGCGATTTGTATTCAAATTATGTTCACTTCCATTGCATGCCATATATATATACATATATACATATATATATACATATATACACGGCAATATGTACAAATTGAGCGATTTTCAGATGAATGGAATGGACATAGTTTGCCCTCCGTCCCAGCAGATATTCTGACACCCAAAGTGCTTACGATTCAGTCTCCCAGTTATTTGCGATAACAAATGGCCCAAAAATATGATAACCCATTTGCCTGAAAGGTCTTCAATCCATTTGGCACAGCTGATGACTAATTTATTGCCGGGTCACAACTTGTTCAACTTATTTCTTGGGCTCATATTAATGGAATCTAATATTTGTCAGTCCATACAGAAGAGCTCTTGGAAAAGTTAAGCAAATACCTTGTACTAATAATTTAGAAATTATCTTTAATATCTTCGATACTTATTAATGGAAAAGCCATATGTATTTCTGATCAAACCCAAGCCGTAAGAGCTGGGCAGCTGAAATTTTTACTGTAATTACCCTATGTGATGGAGGTTCACTTTAAAACGACGTTTTGTTAAATTCCACCCGCAAGTGTGGAAAAATCGTGAAAAACGGTTAAATGAAACTTG